CTTTCATGATGACCTATTACCTCCCTAGACTATTTAATACCGTATTTTTTACCCCCTGAACTATTTAATAGTGTATTTTAAAGGTATATATGTGCCCACGTGGACACACTACTATTTCTAATTTTGCATTATTTTTTATGTCCACGTGGGCAAATATATATGTTTAAAATACAGTATTAAATAGTCTAGGGAGGTAATAGGTCCTCATGAAAGTTTCATATCGCAACAGCAAATCCGACCAAAGTTGGGGTATTTTTCAGACCATTATCCCTTTAAAATAGTACAAGGACAAATTTGATCATTTTTCTTTTAAGAATAATCCTAGTGGTGTCTATAACAGTACCTGTCTGTAAGTGAGCATTGAGCATAGAGTTTTAACATCTCTGTGCTTTGGAGTTAGGCCAGCACGTACCACGTTGTCTGATGTTGCCATGCATTCAATACAATCACCATATAAATAAGCATGAGGTTCATTTGCTCCTAAATATAAGGCTTCACCAGGATTGAGTTTCACATAATTTAACAAGAATGCAGCCAAGACACCAATATCAGCTGGATACTGTTTCTCAAGTCTAAGCACCACTTGTTCTTTCTCTGTCAGCTCCCTTGCCTACAACATTAAGGATGAAATATCATAAATAAATGACAACGACCAAGATTGGTTTAAGTGCAGTTCAGCCCCATCACATTTCACTTTCCTGAATGCGACATCGGTCTCTAGACATTTCATTTCATACATAGTAAAGAAGAAATCAAAGGAAAACTAAATCATCAAGTAGGAATAATATAATAAGCAATTAAGACACCATTAAACCAAACAAATTATCTCCTCAGTGGTAATTGAACAAGAATACGACTAGATGTAGTTTATTGGTTACCTAAATTCAAATTTCAGCTAGCCCTTTTTACAGTTAATGTGGGAATAAAGGAGTGATTCTCTTTGTTTTCTTGTGGGGCATTAAAGAGGGCAAAAATAGCTCAGATATTTATTTTTTTGATGAAGTAGATCAGATATTGTATTAAAATACATAATTCACATCTTCAAAGTAATGTGATCTTTGTACCACCACCAGTATCCCATCCATCCAAATCTATTACAAAACTGATAAAAAGAACATAACAAAGATTGGAACGATGACTAAAGCCAGCTCATAAAGGTCAATTCATCAGAGTCAATTCTAACTCAACTCTTCTGAAAATATTTCTGTTCTTGTTTTTCTGTTGTTTCTCAATCTTTCTTTTTTATTAGTATTATTTTAAGCTGTTTCTATACTCTACTTTTTGCCAAATCCACTCTTTTCTTTCCTTGATCATGTCTTCTTCGCAAAGATATAAGGAACACTCTTAATCTTCACCACAGACCAAGTCTCAGCTTTAATTTTTTTCTACTGTTTATCTTTTCCTTCTTTTTAGTGCTTAATCCCCATTGACTCAATAGGAATTAGATTTATCCATCATTTAGGTTCTTGATTATATGAGATGCTCATGTTGCTGAATTGTGAATCGATATTTTAATTTGGCATCCAATTTCCTCAAACCATCAATTGAAAGGAGAAGTGTCCTTTTGAGAGAAAATAGGCACAACACAAAAAGTTGGGGATGAACAACAAATCTGTTTAAGATGGAGATTGAACTGTTAAGATAAAATGATACTCTCAAACCTCATTTCTTCCAGAACCAAACTCTTTATGCAAGTAGTCCATGTGTTTAGAGATGGGTAGGAAAAGGGAGCTTTTAGATGAAAAATGTTTACCAAGACAATGAAGAGCATAGTTCTCCAAAAACACAAAGAATTACTCCACATGAATAAATGTCCACCATGCTTTAGTACAAGAAGGAAGCTTACAGCTAGTACTTGGATAAAACAAACACATT